TATTGTGATCCTAAGACTGTTTACACACCAAAGGACATACAAACTGACATGTTATCCGAACACTGAGTGAACCTAAGCTATATGCAAGTATGGAGAGCAAAGGAAAAGGCTTTACAGTTTTTTGAGAGGGAATCCGGCTTACTTCTACAGCAAATTACCCAAATATTTTTATATTCTTGAGGAGACTTATCCTGGTTCGGTTGTTAAATTGAAGAAGACAGCAGATGAATGCTTCTTATACGCATTTGTTGCTCTTTGTATATCAATAAGTGGTTGGCAACATTGTAGGCCAGTAGTAGCGGTTGATGGGACATTCTTAGAGTCAGCCTATAGGGGGATTATGCTGACAGCAAACACCATGGATGCAGCAGGTAAAAAGTGTAAAAATTTTGTAATTATTTTGTAGGCAGTCTATAAAATGTAGATACATTGTAGTAATTTTGTAGTAATTTTGTAGCTATTACATGAAATGTAGATAAATTGTCTATATTATGAAGATATATTGTAGTTGTTATGTATTTATATTTTTATATACATTTTCAAAGCTGTCAATTAATATTTTATGAATTAATAATGTAGGTACAATATTGCCCTTGGCATATGCTGTGGTTGATTCTGAAAACGACGCATCTTGGAAGTGGTTCTTTGAGCAATTCAAGCAGGCATATGGCGAAAGACCTTCAATGTGTGTTGTTTCAGATAGGAATGAGAGTATACTGAAGGTAACATCAATTATCTATCCGGGCATGCCACACTACTCTTGCATGTGGCATATTTGGACAAATATAAGGTCAAAATTCAAGAAAGGTCATCTACAATTACATGAATTGTACTTTGCTACAACACGGTCATACACTCTGGATGAATTTAATGAAAGGATGTCGAAGACTGAAGAGGTAGACCCGCATGTGAAATCTTACCTATATGATATTGGCTATCATAGATGGTCAAGAGTACATGCAACAGTGAATAGAACGTGGACAATGACATCAAATATTGCAGAGTCGTTGAATGCTGTAACAAAAGATGCAAGAGAGCTAGCGATATTTGACTTTTTAGAGTATATGCGGACACTGCTAGAACGTTGGACCAACGAGAAGTTATTGAAGGCGAAGGGTACTTTCACATTTCTTGGGTCCAAATTCAACAAAGAATTAGAGAACAACAGAATATTATCTCAGAAGCTTAGGGTAAGATCTGTTTATTTGGTTCAGAAAAAATAAATTACTTAATATCAGTGTTTTCAGATTGTAGATAAATTGTAGTCAAATTGTAGATAATTGTAGGTTGTAGATAAGGTGTAGAATATTTGTAGATGATTTGTAAATAAGTTGTAGATAATCTATTTTTATGATTGAGATAATATTTTTTCTGTTTGTTCGGTAATTGTAGGTGGGGGCTTCAACATATCATATACATACTGTGTTAGATGGTGTGAAGCGGTACATTATGTGTTAAGAAAACAAGAAATGTAGCTGTGGCCAATTCCAACTTAAAGAACTTCCATGTACGCATGATTTGGCAGCATTAATGCACAGGAATGAAACATATGAAAACTATTGCTCTCCGTATTACACAAGGGAGAGCCTTCTGCGTACGTATGAAATACCAGTAAATCCTCTTCCTGATGAAAGCAAATGGAATGTGTCACAATATATTTTGGATGAGGTAGTAAATCCACCGACGGGAGATAAAAGGCAGCTAGGGAGACCTCAAAAAGAAAGATATAAAACATATGATGAAATAAAGTCAAAGAAGTACAAGGTGTCATGTGGAAATTGTGGAGGTGAAGGGCATAACAAAAGATCTTTCAAGAATGCGCCCAAGAAGAAATGAATATCATGTAGTTAGAATAGTTATTCAAACTAACTGTTAGTGAGTTAAAGTTAGCAGATTTTTTGTGTAATCGTTTAAGTTTTTAAAGATCATTATGAAGTAGACTACAATTTGTTTATGTGTGTTTAAGATGCTTTTATGTATTGTGTCGGGCATCTAAATTTTTCTTTGATATAATGTAATTAAATTTTAATATTTATTATCTACAATACAACTGATATTAAAAAAGTAACTTTAATGTAAAGTATTTCCAGATTGTAGGTAAAATATAGGTTAAATGTAGTTAAATTGTAGTCTTGGTAATAATTTATAGATGATTTGTAGATAAATTGTGGATAATATATTTCTATGATTGGAGTATTTATTTCTTCTGTTTGTTGTGTAATTTAACTTCAACTGACAGTTATATACAGATATTACCTAGAACTTGAAGGTATTTCATAAAATTTATGAACATATACAACTACAAAATTATATACAATAACTACATTGAGTGTTTCCAAAATGTAGATATTGTGAAGATTATTTGTAGGTAAATTGTATTCTAACATCAAAATACTCATATTTAATATAATGAAGATACAGTGCTGTAAACAACCAATTTATATTCAAGTGAACAACTAATAATGAAACATAAAATAACAAAACAAAAAGGTATGCTACAATAAAAAAAATAAAAATTTTGTTCATAAAGTAGTGTATTCTCCTTCAACTACAAATTGGCATCAACTAAACTAGGAAAACATGACACTATTTCTTCTTTCTCTGGACTCTAGTCTTCTCATTCAAAGCAGGAGCACCCTTCCTCCTTGCTAGCCTGCCTGTAACCTCACTTTCACTGATTGACCCATCTTCTTGCTTCTTTGTATCATAGTCCCATAGGAGAGCTCCATAGCGTCTACGGTGTTGGTCGATATCTGAAAGGTCTTCTGAAGGGATTGACAAATCTCCAAGGCTAACATACTCCGCAAAAGCCGCCACAAATACACCACAATCGCTGCATAAGACAAAAAATTTAATTATTTAACAAATGATTATAAAAAAAATAATTAAACATCTAGAAAGAGAGAATAGTTTTTTTACAGTGATCCTTCCTTTTGGTGTGGAATCTCCGCAACCATCCACTATATGTTAAGAGGGTCTGTAACTGGTTTCTCAATGTATGCCTTTGTGGTCTTGAAGTCAATGTCTTTACGCTTCCTGTAGAAACCAGTGCAAGACAAATACAGAAGGATAATGATTGAAAACTTATCAACACATGATTCAACAACATTATGATGGTGTGAAGACACCAAGGAATCATACACATAAAGTTGCCTGTCCGCTATGTCGAAAACGACCAACAACCAATGGAAATTCTCTACAATGTTCACAGGCATGATGGCATAGTCAACTTCATCCGAGGCAACATTAGTAAGAAGTCTATACCCAAGAATATATTCTGCAACATCATCATCGGGTTTAACAACCGAATACTTTTTTTCAGGCGGAGAACTTATGAACTTCTCATAGATTCGTTCAATCTTTGACTTGAACAAGCAATCGGTTGTTGTAAACCTAGTGTTGTTGTTGTTGGGGCCATATTTGCCTCTTTTTCTCAGGTAATACATAATAACATCAATGTGCTGCAAAATAAAATAAAATCTACTATAAGCTACAGTGTAACTACAATTATCAACAAAGCAGCTACACTTTAAACTACAAAGCCAGAATTCAAATAATCTAACAAATAGCTACACTTTAGCTACTATACATAGCAACACATGAAACACAGCAACTACCATAAGGTCTCAATAATATTTACATTCAAACTACAGTTAATATTATAAGTCTTCAACTTGCTCTACAATTTAACTACAAATTAACTACAATCATGAAATACAGACATACCAATTCTGTCCAAATTACCAAATATACAATTTTTACATACAATTCATCATCAAATATGATACATAAAGTCCAACCTAAATATAATCACACTATAAATAATAAGAGCAGCATTTATAAGAAATGTCTACATTATATCTACAATTTATAATAAAAGGCATGGTCACATATATTTCATATCTACAATATAACTACAATTATAGTACAAAATAGAAGACAAAATATATCTTGTGAATTTATTCTTTGATACTTACCGAGTCATTGAGGACTTGTCCGGGGTGAGCAAGGGAATAAAACCAGTCCTTCTTATCCACCTTTTCAACTCCAAGGTCTAACCAAGGCTTGATTTGGTTATCCTTTATGGAAAAAGGAGTCTTCCTCCTGTAACAATAAATAAATGTCCAATAAAAAAAATCACAGAATGAATTACATATTTAAACTTTAAAATGCTGAAATGAAAATGTCAAATTAAGCATTTATACCTATTAGATACTTTGTCACTACGGTGGTATAACCACTTGTTGAACTTATCTAACATATCAGAATCTACATTTTCACCTATAAGAGTTGTGAAAGGGTGCTTGAGGTAGAAAAATTTAGGTCCAATAGAGCTGCTGCCTCCAGAACTATATAGAGGTAAGAAAGGGGATCGTGCATGTTTCCCCGGTTGTTTTGTTCTCCCCGGATGAATAGGGGTTGCTTCATCTGGTATGGGCTCGCCATACTTAACCAATTGTGTTAAGTTGTCTGGCAACTCAAAGTCATCCAATGTCACACCCTTCTTATCAATGCATGATCCTTCAGAAATAACTTCATCCACATGATGTGCATCTTCACCTTCATTTAGCTGTTTCTCAATGACTTGTTCTGTCTGAGATGCTACAGTCACTCCGTGAATTGGGGGCAGTGCATTGATATCTTCAATATCTGTTACATAAAACATAACTTACTTAACAGGAATGTAAAATTGTATAAACAACAATTATTTATTCTGAATGATAGTATGATATTATACCTGCTTGTTCTACCTCAGCTACTTCTTGAAATTCTGAATATAAGTCAACATGTGCTGGAATATGTTCTGGACAAACTGCAGCTTCAATTTATAATTAAAAAAAGGTAAATAATACTAGATAATGTTGCCTTGAAAGTTGTAGATATATGTAGGAAGTTATAAATAAAATGTGAATAATAAAACTATGCTCTATAAAGTTTTATACTAAGTGTATATATTTGTAGGTATTTTGTATATACTTGTGTTGCTTGTGCTTGCATGCACTTGATCACCAATATTGAGCTGAAATTGCTGGTTGTTCACTCTTTGTTGTTGGTCATTGTTTTTGGTTGAACTACCAACAAACTAAAGATTTTATGTTAGTTTGAGTATATTGTTTCATATGTCATAATTTGTTTTGGTATATAAATATATGTCAACTCTTACCTTTGCCTCATCCACATCATATCTCCTGTTTATCAAATTCAAAACACTCTTCACAGAATCATCTATAAATACTCGAAGGTCATGGAGTTCCTCAAATACAGCCTTCCTAAAATCCTCTAACTTTCCATCAACCTAAAACTTAAAAATATAGTTAGTTGGTAATTTTATTCAAATAAATTACAAATCAGTTTAATTATGTACGAGGCAGTATTGTTTTCACAGTTGTCTACAAATTGCTACAGTTATACTACAATTTAACTATAATGTGTGTAATCCCAACATGGCTGACTATAGAATTATACTACAATTTAACTACAATGTATACTACATAAATTGTTATGAAATGTAGATAAATTATAGCAAATATGTAAATATATTGTAGTTAATAATATTACCTGCTCAATTCCCTTTTCTAGCTTTCTGAGCTTTTTAGCCACAGATTCCTTGTCCTCTTGACAATCTGTATGTTTGGGTTCCAATGTTGGAGAATCAGCATTTGGAACCTCTGATGATTGTGCACCTTGTTCATCTTCATACTCAATCTTGTTTGGCAGAATAAGCACTCCAATCTCTTCTCCAGATTCAGTCATGCTTGTGAACTGAATGATGAAAAAAAACAGTTAGTTCCACTAAGGCAGAAAATGTAGATTAATTGTAGATATTATGAAGGTAAATGTAGCAACATACAAAACTAAAAAAAATACCTTAATCCACTCAGGCTTGATCATCTTTTCTTCAAAGGCAGTTAACCAAATCTGCCCTTTAGTAGATGACCATCTTAATATGCGAGGTATTGAGTCAGAACACCTCGTAGCAACCTCTATGCTGACGGTCGAGCAACACTCATAAAGCCACACTTGCAAGGCTAATAAGCATCCCCATATGAGATAAGAATGTACATGGGGATTTAGACGATGCCTAACGGATTCCATAACCTGATTGAATGATTTAATACCCCATGGGTATGATTCAAACTGACCAGACTCTACCAAATAGTCTAAAGTGGTCTATAAAAGACACATGGTCTTTGTCATAAGGGCAAACAAAAAATTTCAAAAGATAAATAATGCACAACTTGACTGCATCCTCATCGTTTACCCAAGATCTATTTGTTACTATATTTTTCAAATACCACTTCTCTACTCTTTTTTTGTTAGGAAAATAGCTATTCATTAATTTGCTAACATAACTAGAAGTATATCCATAATCTGTATGTCACACCCCCTTTTTAACAAACTCACTAACCCTCTTAAAAATAAAAGAAATTTGTAAAGATCAAAAGGGTTTTTAATTAAAAAAAAGTGACAAAACTTTATGTTCAAAAGGATTAACTCAGAGTCGCCACCTGATATTTGATATCGGTATGTCAGGTCACTGCTTTATTCTAAAAATAATTTTTCCTTTCAAAACACTCGAGACTCCAAAACTAAGTCTACACCAGAGATTCGGGTAAGGGGGTCCATTTGTCTCGGGGAGAAGGTGTTAGGCACTCCCCAAGTCCCGTAACTAGTACGGTTGCATAATTGATCAAGTTGGCTTTTAAAATATTTGAATTGAGGCGAAAAACACAGGAAAAAAAATAAACACACAAGAGGCTCGAGGTCATCCCCACCTAGATTAAACAAAACAAGAAAATAATAATAGCCTATACTATGTTCACTCTACCATGTCT